GCTTCTTTAATCCTAATGTAGACCCCGTTGGGCGGGCCACAGTGGCCAACTATGGCCTTATGGACCAGCTGGCAGCCCTCCACTGGGTCCAGGAGAACATAGTCCGCTTCGGAGGAGACCCGGGACACGTTACAGTCATGGGCCATGGCCAGGAGCAGCCTGTCTAAACTTTTTGGTTATTTCTCCAGCTGCTGCAGGTAAGTTTGTGTGTATTCGGTTACGTAAGTTGTGAGTTAGGTGAGCTGTAAGTCACATGAGCCTCAAATAAGGTGATGAGGTTGTTCATAGCTTCCTATCTGCCTCCTTCATGCTATCGACATAGGTGAAAACACACAGAGATGAAATTTGGCAATGTTATATGGGAGCCTGTCCGGGATCCAGACCTTAACCTTGATCCAACAGTGCATTACAGCCCAGGGCTGTGGTATATAGGAACCAGTGACTGCAATCTCTCCAAGAGAGAGAATGGCATCTAGTTTTAAGGATTATATTGTAATGCAAGATTAATGAAGGTCGTGTGTCACCTGTGTATATATCAATAACAACACTGCGACTAGCCGAGGACTCGAACCCATATCGTTTTGGCCCACCTCATGGTGAGCGAAAATTCACGACGCTCTAACCCACTGGACCATACAATCCTACAAAGATCACGCACCCAGGAGAGCTAGGTGTCGTATGTCCTCGGATCACGGTACAACATCTAGCTCTGCTGGGTGCATGATCTTTGTAGGCTTGTATGGTACAGTGAGTATATATATATATATATATATATATATATATAGTATATATATATATATATATATATATATATATATATATAATATATAAAGTGTTAAACAGGACTGTTCATGAAAGGGAAGGTGTCAATTACGTGTCTCACTGGAAGGCTACGGTCCAACTCACTCTGCCTAGAGAACTTTCACCAGGTAACTGTCTCGTTGCAGGTCATCCTTTATACTCAACTGCAGTTATACAGTTATATGATAATTTACATATTTTATATACACCCAGAGGTGTATATCTAAATATATATACACGGTAAATACACCAAAGTTACTTTTAAACCCTGTTTAAGGTGACTCGCGACCTAAATGTTCAATTTGCTGCCGATAGTCTTCAAACTAAACAAGTTAACATGTGACTGAGACCTGGGCAGAGACGGAGGGTCGAGTCTCCATCACTCCTGGCGATGTTTGTCCCAAACATTCTTATCTCTTCACATAATAAAATAAATAAACCAATAAACTTGTACCTTTAGCAAGAAAAATAATGTTAGAATGAGTGTAACACAGCTTCACGAGTTCCTCATTGAATAGCCATAATCAAATAACACAGAACAGCTTTCTCAGAGCATCTGGTCCCACCCTGGGGGCCGCGGACCCCGAGGTTAATGTGTTCATATTTTGTCAGTTAACGAAGCTTAGAATTACAGCTGTGGGGATATGTGGGGTATTCGCCTTTTTTTTTTTGAAGTTTAATCATGGCTTTTGTACTCGGAAAAATAAAGGGAACGAACCATTGCTTCAAATATATAATTCCTTTTAATTAGTTAATGTTTTAGCTTTGTATTATTATTATTATTATTATTATTATTATTATTATTATTACTATTATTATTATTATTATTATTATTATATTCAATAGAAATTGCTCAACATGTATCTTAAGAGTCTTACAGCGCCCTGAGAATGGGAGGCTTGATCCGAGGAAGGGGAGACTAGCTCCAGTTCCCTGGATCAGCAACTATTCACAAAGCAAGAAAGGTATAATTTTAGAAGCCAGGCTGCTACACGAGGGTCATTAAGGCTGCTTGTTACCTGTACACATCAGTCAGGAATACTTTAATACCTTTAATGATTACCAGTATATATGCACTGAGATATATACACATTTCAGTGTATATGCACTTAGATACATACACCTTTCAGTGTATACACACTGAGATATATACACCTTTCAGTGTATATGCACCTAGATATATACACCTTTCAGTGTATATACACTGGGATATATATACACCTTTCAGTGTATATACACTGAGATATATACACCTTTCAGTGTATATACATTGATATATATATATACACATTTCAGTGTATATATACTCTGATATATACACCTTTTAATGTATATACACTGAGATATATACACATCTTTCAGTGTAAGTACACTGAGATATATGCACCTTTCAGTGTATATACACTGAGATATATACACCTTTCGGTGTATATACACTGAGATATATATCTTTCAGTGTATATACACTGAGATATGTACACCTTTCAGTGTATATACTGAGATATATATACACCTTTCAGTGTATATACACTGAGATATATATACATCTTTCATTGTATATCCATTGAGATATATAGACATCTCATTGTATATATGAAGGCCTATGCTCTTTTCAGATTACAGCATATACACTGATATACACAGTGTTTGTCGTTTTTTCTGAACGATGTGTATGATAGCTGAGTATGTGATAGCTGAGTATGTGATAGCTGATCGTGTGATAGCTGGGTGTGATAGCTGAGTGTGTGATAGCTGAGTATGTGATAGCTGAGTGGTGATACTGAGTGTTGTGATAGCTGAGTGTGTGATAGCTGGGTGTGTGATAGCTGAGTGTGTGATAGCTGGGTGTGTGATAGCTGAGTATGTGATAGCTGAGTATGTGATAGCTGATCGTGTGATAGCTGGGTGTGATAGCTGAGTGTGTGATAGCTGAGTATGTGATAGCTGAGTGTGTGATAGCTGAGTGTGTGATAGCTGAGTGTGTGATAGCTGGGTGTGTGATAGCTGAGTATGTGATAGCTGAGTATGTGATAGCTGATCGTGTGATAGCTGGGTGTGATAGCTGAGTGTGTGATAGCTGAGTATGTGATAGCTGAGTGTGTGATAGCTGAGTGTGTGATAGCTGAGTGTGTGATAGCTGGGTGTGTGATAGGTGAGTGTGTGATAGCTGAGTGTGTGATAGCTGAGTGTCTGATAGCTGAGTATGTGATAGCTGAGTGTGTGATAGCTGAGTGTGTGATAGCTGGGTGTGTGATAGCTGGGTGTGTGATAGCTGAGTATGTGATAGCTGAGTGTGTGATAGCTGGGTGTGTGTGATAGCTGAGTATGTGATAGCTGAGTACGTGATAGCTGGGTGTGTGTGATAGCTGAGTGTGTGATAGCTGAGTATGTGATAGCTGAGTGTGTGATAGCTGAGTGTGTGTGATAGCTGAGTGTGTGTGATAGCTGAGTGTGTGTGATAGCTGAGTGTGTGTGATAGCTGAGTGTGTGATAGCTGAGTATGTGATAGCTGAGTATGTGATAGCTGAGTGTGTGATAGCTGAGTATGTGATAGCTGAGTGTGTGATAGCTGAGTGTGTGATAGCTGAGTATGTGATAGCTGAGTGTGTGATAGCTGAGTGTGTGTGATAGCTGAGTGTGTGATAGCTGGGTGTGTGTGATAGCTGAGTGTGTGTGATAGCTGAGTGTGTGATAGCTGAGTATGTGATAGCTGAGTGTGTGATAGCTGAGTGTGTGTGATAGCTGAGTGTGTGATAGCTGGGTGTGTGTGATAGCTGAGTGTGTGATAGCTGAGTATGTGATAGCTGAGTGTGTGATAGCTGAGTGTGTGATAGCTGAGTGTGTGATAGCTGAGTGTGTGATAGCTGAGTGTGTGATAGCTGATCGTGTGATAGCTGAGTGTGTGACAGCTGAGTGTGTGATAGCTGAGTGTGTGATAGCTGAGTGTGTGATAGCTGAGTGTGTGATAGCTGAGTGTGTAATAGCTGAGTGTGTGATAGCTGAGTGTGTGATAGCTGAGTGTGTGATAGCTGAGTGTGTGATAGCTGAGTGTGTGATAGCTGAGTATGTGATAGGTGAGTGTGTGATAGCTGATCGTGTGATAGCTGAGTGTGATAGCTGAGTGTGTGATAGTTGAGTGTGTGATAGCTGAGTGTGTGATAGCTGAGTATGTGATAGCTGAGTGTGTGATAGGTGAGTGTGTGATAGCTGAGTGTGTGATAGCTGAGTATGTGATAGCTGAGTATGTGATAGCTGAGTATGTGATAGCTGAGTGTGTGATAGCTGAGTGTGTGATAGCTGAGTATGTGATAGCTGAGTGTGTGATAGCTGAGTGTGTGATAGCTGAGTGTGTGATAGCTGAGTATGTGATAGCTGAGTATGTGATAGCTGAGTATGTGATAGCTGAGTGTGTGATAGCTGAGTATGTGATAGCTGAGTATGTGATAGCTGAGTGTGTGATAGCTGAGTATGTGATAGCTGAGTGTGTGACAGATGAGTATGTGATAGCTGAGTATGTGATAGCTGAGTATGTGATAGCTGAGTGTGTGATAGCTGAGTGTGTGATAGCTGAGTGTGTGACAGCTGAGTATGTGATAGCTGAGTGTGTGATAGCTGAGTATGTGATAGCTGAGTATGTGATAGCTGAGTGTGCGATAGCTGAGTATGTGATAGCTGAGTGTGTGATAGCTGAGTGTGTGATAGCTGAGTATGTGATAGCTGAGTGTGTGATAGCTGAGTATGTGATAGCTGAGTATGTGATAGCTGAGTATGTGATAGCTGAGTGTGTGATAGCTGAGTATGTGATAGCTGAGTATGTGATAGCTGAGTGTGTGATAGCTGAGTATGTGATAACTGAGTATGTGATAGCTGAGTGTGTGATAGCTGAGTATGTGATAGCTGAGTATGTGATAGCTGAGTATGTGATAGCTGAGTGTGTGATAGCTGAGTATGTGATAGCTGAGTGTGTGATAGCTGAGTATGTGATAGCTGAGTATGTGATAGCTGAGTATGTGATAGCTGAGTGTGTGATGCTGAGTATGTGATAGCTGAGTATGTGATAGCTGAGTGTGTGATAGCTGAGTATGTGATAGCTGAGTATGTGATAGCTGAGTGTGTGATAGCTGAGTATGTGATAGCTGAGTGTGTGATAGCTGAGTATGTGATAGCTGAGTATGTGATAGCTGAGTGTGTGATAGCTGAGTATGTGATAGCTGAGTATGTGATAGCTGAGTATGTGATAGCTGAGTGTGTGATAGCTGAGTATGTGATAGCTGAGTGTGTGATAGCTGAGTATGTGATAGCTGAGTGTGTGATAGCTGAATATGTGATAGCTGAGTATGTGATAGCTGAGTGGTGTGATAGCTGAGTATGTGATAGCTGAGTATGTGATAGCTGAGTGTGTGATAGCTGAGTATGTGATAGCTGAGTATGTGATAGCTGAGTATGTGATAGCTGAGTGTGTGATAGCTGAGTGTGTGATAGCTGAGTATGTGATAGCTGAGTGTGTGATAGCTGAGTATGTGATAGCTGAGTATGTGATAGCTGAGTATGTGATAGCTGAGTATGTGATAGCTGAGTATGTGATAGCTGAGTATGTGATAGCTGAGTATTGTGATAGCTGAGTGGTGTGATAGCTGAGTATGTGATAGCTGAGTGTGTGACAGCTGAGTATGTGATAGCTGAGTATGTGATAGCTGAGTGTGTGATAGCTGAGTATGTGATAGCTGAGTGTGTGACAGCTGTGTGATAGCTGAGTGTGTGACAGCTGTGTGACAGCTGAGTGTGTGATAGCTCAGTGTGTGACAGCTGAGTGTGTGGTAGCTGAGTGTGTGACAGCTGAGTGTGTGACAGTTGAGTGTGTGATAGTTGAGTGTGTGGTAGCTGAGTATGAGTGTAACTGTTTAACATGTGTCTTACTTACCAACATCTGTTCTGAGTAGGGAAATTAGATCTAACAAAAATGATCCCAAATGAATGAACAATGGATTAAAACATCTCATTGGACAAAAGAGAGGCATATATAGGCATATCAAAAGAGGGGATGGGCAGTTAAGAAGTCAATATATTCAATTAAAGAGAGAAATAAAGAAAGTAATAAGAAAAACAAAAAGAGATTATGAGGCTAAGGTCACAAGGGATTCAAAGACTAACCCAAAAGGGTTCTTTCAGGTATACAGAAGTAAGATTAGGGACAAGATTGGCCCACTTAAGAGTAACTCTGGTCAGATCACTGACAGTGATAAGGATATGTGTGAAATTCTAAATACTTACTTCCTCTCAGTTTTCACCCAGGAAAATACTAGCGATATTCCTGAAATAATAGATTTTGTAGAACGGGATAATAAACTATGTACGATTGCGGTAACTAGTGACATGGTCCTCAGACAAATAGAGAAACTAAAACCTAACAAATCCCCAAACCATGATGAACTGTTTGCAAGGGTGTTAAAGGAATGTAAAGAGGAACTTTGGCTAATCTTTTTAACAAACTGGCATAGTGCCTGATAAGTGGAAATTGGCAAATGTAATACCTATTTACAAGGCAGGTGACAGGTCCTTGGCTTCGAACTATAGACCAATAAGCCTTACCTCCATAGTGGGAACATTTATGGAATCAATAATTGCCGAAGCAATTCGTAGCCATCTTGACAGGCACAGATTGATTAATGAATCTCAACACGGTTTTACAAAGGGGCGTTCCTGTCTTACGAATTTACTAATTTTTTTCACTAAGGTGTTTGAGGAGGTAGATCATGGTAATGAATAAGATATTGTGTATATGGACTTGAGTAAGGCTTTCGATAGAGTTCCACATCAGAGGCTATTGAGGAAACTTAAGGCACACGGAATAGGAGAAATTTTTTCCTGGGTAGAGGCATGGCTGACAAATAGCGCAAGAGAGTTTGCATAAATGGGGAGAAATCAGAATGGGGGCACGTCACAAGCGGTGTTCCTCATGGGGTCAGTGTTGGGCCCGTTGTTGTTCACAATTACATAAACGACAAGATGAGGGAATAAATAGCGACATAAGCAAGTTTGCTGATGACACCAAAATAGGCCGTCCAATTCATTCTAATGAGGACATTAGATCACTCCAGGATGATTTGAATAGACTGACGCAATGGTCGGAGAAGTGGCAGATGCAGTTTAATATTGACAAATGCAAAGTTCTAAATGTTGGACAGTTAAATAACCATGCCACATATAAACTAAATAATGTAGATCTTAATACTACCGATTGCGAAAAGGATTTACGAGTTCTGGTTAGCAGTAACCTAAAACCAAGACAACAGTGCATTAGTGTTCGCAATAAAGCTAACAGAATTCTTGGCTTCATATCTAGAAGTATAAATAATAGAAGTCCTCAGGTTGTTCTTCAACTCTATATATCCTTGGTTAGGCCTCATTTAGACTATGCTGCTCAGTTCTGGCCACCGTATTACAGAATGGATATAAATGCTCTGGAAAACGTACTAAGGAGGATGACAAAGATGATCCCATGTAAATATAAACACAAATGCAGTATAATGTGATCCTTTATTGACTACGTTTCGCCCACACAGTGGGCTTTTTCAAGTCACAAACAGAACTACCTGGGGTGGAAGGAACGCGAGTATTTATAGTCCGGTTCAGAATGCTGAGGTCAGGTGAAGAATGCTGCATCTGATGATGTACCGAGTGGGGTTATAGAGTCTAAAAACTTGGGTAGCTTGGAAAGGAGATTGGACAAGTTTGTGAGCAGACCTTCTACAGTGTTCTTATGTGGGATAGCGATGAAGAAGTTTCTTGGCAAGTGGTTCAGCTATGTTATAGAAGCCACTATTCTGGTTGAAGTTTCTCTTTTGAAAATCACCTCTTTCAGCAGACTTTTGGACTACCCATGGGTTCGCCACTCAGTGCAGTCCTGGCGAACCTATACATGGAACATCTAGAAGCCGAACGTTTCTCCACCATTATTCCTTCGTCTGTCACCTGGCTCCGTTATGTTGACGACATTCTCCTCATAACTCCTAAACGCTTCAACGTTCAAGCTCTCCAAGACAAGCTCAACCAGGTCGAGCCTTCAATCCAGTTCACACTTGAAGAAGAAGTCGACAACACTCTTCCTTTCCTTGATGTCCTGCTCTGCAAAGCTGACCACGAACTTCGTTTTAAAGTCTATCGAAAACCCCCAACCAAAACGATTTTCTCCACTTCTACTCTCACCACGACACCAAAACCAAACGTGGTGTAATTATAGGCTTCTTCCTGCGTGCACTCAGAATCTGCAGCAACGAGTTCCTTGAGGAAGAATGCACTATAATTGAACAAATATTTTCTAAACTCCACTATCCTCGTCACTTCATCAGAGACTGCAGACGGCGGGCATTAAACATCTTCAACACACCCAGAGAAGACACTGCCGAGAAGAGATACATAGTCCTTCCCACCAACTCCATTGCCAAACATGTTTCCAACATCTTGCCAAAACATCATTCCAAGTATCTACCTCCACAACCACGACCATCAAGGACATCACCAGTAGTAGACAGGACAAGCCTCCATCCTCTGCAGGGGTATACATAATCCCTTGTAATGACTGCAACAAGTTATACGTGGGCGAAACATCAAGGGACCTCCAAACACGTATTTCAGAACACCAATACGCAAGCAGGTCTGACGACACAAGGAATGCCTGCGTACAACACCGTAATTCACACAACCACTTGATAAACTACAGAAACTCAAGACTCATCGCCACAGAAGACAACACTCAATACCGAAGAATCCTGGAATCATCACTTATTTCTATATCCGACAACTTCAACCAGAATAGTGGCTTCTATAACATAGCTGAACCACTTGCCAAGAAACTTCTTCATCGCTATCCCACATAAGAACACTGTAGAAGGTCTGCTCACAAACTTGTCCAATCTCCTTTCCAAGCTACCCAAGTTTTTAGACTCTATAACCCCACTCGGTACATCATCAGATGCAGCATTCTTCACCTGACCTCAGCATTCTGAACCGGACTATAAATACTCGCGTTCCTTCCACCCCAGGTAGTTCTGTTTGTGACTTGAAAAATCCCACTGTGTGGGCGAAACGTAGTCAATAAAGGATCACATTATACTGCATTTGTGTTTATATTTCCATTGTGTCGGTATTTTATACCATTTATTTCCATGATCCCATGTATCAGAAATCTTCCCTATGAGGATAGACTGAGGCCCTGAATCTGCACTCTCTCGAAAGGCGTAGAATTAGGGGGGATATGATATAGGTGTATAAATGGAAAACAGGAATAAATAAAGGGGATGTAAATAGTGTGCTGAAAATTTCCAGCCAAGACAGGACTCGCAGCAATGGTTTCAAGTTGGAAAAATTTAGATTCAGGAAGGATATAGGAAAGCACTGGTTTGGTAATAGAGTTGTGGATGAGTGGAACAAACTCCCGAGTACAGTTATTGAGGCTAAAACGTTGTGTAGTTTTAAAAATAGATTAGATAAATACATGAGTGGGTGTGGGTGGGTGTGAGTTGGACCTGACTAGCTTGTGCTGCTGGGTCTGGTACAGTGCTCCATCCTTGAGTGGGGATGACCCCACTGGGTGGGTCATTGGGATAATCCGGGGGGTGGGTCATTGGTCTAATCCGGGGGGGACATGGACCTGCTCCGCATGGGTCAGTAGGCCTGTTGCAGTGTTCCTTCTTTCTTATGTTCTTATGTTCTTATCTTTTCAACTGAGGGCTGACTGCGTCTATTTACAGTCCTGTAAGGTTGAGGGACTGATTGCCTCACCTTAAACTACCTCTGTGTTTTATCCTGGAAAAATAAAGGAGACAATTAAACCCTTTTTTACGTCTTCGTAAAACATGTTTGCTTGCACTGATAAAACCATTTGTTGGCAAAAACGTCTTCAAATAAAGATCCAGGTTCACAGGGTGTGTTTGGATCCTTCCCACCAAGCTCTACTCCGGGTGATCTCCCCTCTTTTTTTAAAAAGCTACCCGCGGGGGGTTATTTTTTAAAAACAAGTTTTTTTGGGTTTCACG